AGTCGGAAGTGGCTCCAAACATTGTATTGGAATATATTTGTTCATATAAAGAAAGTTAACAAAGCCTTCCTGAAAGAAGTTCAGTTTCTTGCAATTGGCTAACGGTGTATCCGATAAAATTATCACATCTTACTTTCGTCTTCTTTCCAGATTCAAAACTCTGAAAAAAAAATAAAGGACTTAAACAGTACAGCCCTTAAAAGTTTTGAATATCAAATTTCCCTACCAAAAGTCTTCCACCACCGACGAGAATTTAAAACCCTGATTTGGATGGTTTTCTTGCTTAGTTAGAGCCTAACTTTCACATTCCAGGTTCTCCAATTTCAGTATCTTTAATTAAAAATAGTATCTTGAGGTTAAGATATTCAGAAGACATGGTCCTTAAGATAATCATCAAATGGCATATGTTAAAAGTGCATAGACAGACATAATTAAAAGTGTGCAAGATGAACACCAAGTACTTTCCATTAGAACATTTCCGGAGTACAGAAATTTGACAATTTACCTGCATGTTTTTTTAGCTTATTCTGCACAAAATATACCAAGTTCCAGAAATTGTGGAAAAGCTTAAATTTTCAGGGGACAAACACTGATGCTTCTAACTAGTTCTGAGTGGTTGTCAAGAAATGTGAAAGTAAGTTGGAATCACCACAGGATCTCTTTTGCTTGTGGGCTAAGTTTTATTTTGCATTATGGACTTTAAGTGCTAAAAAATTTGTTGTTTAAGGTTTGACAAAGTAGGATGACTGAAGGGATTACATTGTTGAAAGTCATTTGGTTCCAATTGATTCACATACATAAACACAATTTAGATAGCTAAAACAACCAAGAAAAGCGTAAACAATGCACTTGACAGAAATTCCAAGTATCGACCCGAGTCAGTTCCATCTGCCTACTGCATGGTGTTACAGTTCAGAACTTCGCTCCACCAATGAATTTTCGATTGGGTCATTGATGCCAATTATATGCTAGTGCAAGTGTTCAGGTTGCTATAATTCTAGAATGAGCAAACAAAGGCTCACAATCCATATTCTGTGAAGAAGTAACACATATGACAACCAAGCAATGAATTAAGCATACCTCTAATATGGGACCACGATCTGCTCCAAGTAAATGAATTTCATCCAGTATCATTAGTCCAACCTAGAAAGTATACATAAAAATAAAAACAACAACAATAACCGGTGCAACTCAATATAATAAAATATGAAACTTTAAAATCCAACTGGGAAATAATATTCAACAATCATATGTTTCAAACAAGGGGAAACAAAAGAGAATATTATAGATGTACACAGTAAAGGACAATGTCAGAATAAACAATAATGAAAAACATAAACCCCAAACTGAGATTCAAATTTCATTCAAGAATTGGGACATGCAAAAATGGGAAGAACTTAAAGTCCAGAGTTCAGAAAATAATTCACCTTCTTAACGTAGCCTCGAGTATGCCAATTACGACTGATACCATCCCATTTTTCTGGAGTAGAAATAATGATGTCAGCTGCTAACAGTGCTGTCAGATCTGGGGTATATTCTCCAGTCAATTCCACCTAATATCAATGATGTCGCATTAGATTAGATAGCTTCGCATAACTCTGAATAATAAGCGGAAAATTCTAAGCACCATATGTTTTCCAAGCTGGGAAACAAGACGCTTCCTCCAATCATTCATTCTTTCTCGGACAAGAGCCTTTAAAGGTGCTATATAGATAACCTGCATTAGAACAGCCATTTGATCATCAAAAAACTTCGTTTAATGCAATGCCTACAGAAGTACAAATACCTAAACACTTCGTATGAAATAGTAAATAAGGCCCAATTTTAAACGAAATGGTGGTCTTTGTGAACAGTTGTGCGTATTTTGTTGTCCACACTATTGTCATATAGTCTTCAGTTAGATTTTGAAATGGAAATTCAATATTGAGGCTTGTCAAAGACTCAAAATTATATTCCAGACGGCAATTATAAGTAGGTCAGCATTGGAGATGCCCCCAACAACAGAATGTTACTATTAGAAGCTCTTCTAACAATTTGACAACTCACATCAGCAATTAAGATCACAATAAGTTATTTATAAAGCTACACATCAAAGTATTCAGAATGCGATTAAGCTTTTTTTTTTTT